AATAAATCTACGTTCTGCATTTTTAACACAACATATTTATTAAATCTACGTTTTGCATTTTTAACACAACATATTTATATGTAGTTCAACTCGATTCAATTATTTTAAACTTAAAATTTATCTTGTTTTAACGTAAAATAACAGCTGTTATTTTATTAATATCTACCAATAGGAATTAGAAGCAGTAATTTAGATTATATATTTTAGAGAAATTGAATACTTCAATTAGTAGAAAGCTCTAAAATTTGATATTTCAATCTATAAAATACCAAATAATAAAGATATGACACAAATTATGTCATATCAATAACAAAAGGCGTCGGAGATAGCAGTTTGTGAAATTCGTTGTTTCACATCGCAGAATTTCATTTAATTAAAAAACGATACTAAATTACAATTGTGAAAGCGATCTTTTCAGTAATTAAATCTACGTTCTGCATTTTTAACACAACATATTTATATGTAGTTCAACTCGATTAAATGTTGTTTAAAACTTAAAATTTATCTTGTTTTAACGTAATATAACAGCTGTTTTTATTAATATCAACCAATAAAAATTAGAAGTACTAATTTAGATTATATATTTTAGAGAAATTGAATACTTCAGTTGGTAGGAAGCTCTAAAATATGGTGATTAATTATAAATAAAATTTGATATTTCAATCTATAAAATACGAAATAATAAAGATATGACAATGTGAGAATAATTTGTACTAAAAGCTGTGTCTCAAATGAGCATATTTATAAACCATTTATAAAATTATGAAAACTATTTTTTCAGTAATTTGGATTCGAAATTTTAGAGGAACTGAAAATCTGAAAGATTGATATACAATACAGATATGATCAACTGATAAATAAGAAGGCTGTAGGTTATTATTTTTGAAACATCAAACTTGACTTGTGAAGTAATGCCAGTTCAGTAAATCATTCTCGTAATATTTTGCAACAATGTCACTTTATCACTCCGAACCGGGAAAACTGATCGGATTGATCGGAGATGAGGACACTTGCGTCGGTTTCTTGTTGGGTGGAATAGGCGAGATTAACAAGAAGAGAGAGCGCAACTTCTTCGTCGTAAATAAGAATACTACTCCATCAGACATCGAGGAGTGCTTCAGGAAATTCCTGAAGAGGACCGACATGGACATCATCATGATAGCTCAGAATTACGCAGATATGATCAGACACCTGATCGAAATACAGACGGAGCCCATCCCGACAATCCTCGAGATTCCATCCAAACAGTGTCCTTACGAATCCGCCAAGGATTCAATTTTGAACAGAGCCAGAGGGATGTTCTGCCCCGATGATAATACTCTTTACTAATTCACATCTTGTACTCTTTAAAGATATAATAAACTTGATTGATTGATTGAAATAACAAACCTTGTACGTTCCAACAGCATGAGCGCCATCGTAAATGTACAGATGATCGTTGCAGTCGAGCTGGAGGAAGTCGAACCGAAGCATGAACCTCTGCAGGATCGAGTGCGTCTGGAAGGTGATCACGCAGTCCAAATTCCTCTCGTTCTGCGACCAGAGAACGGCGCCGTCTATTTTCCTGTAGAGCTGCTGCAGGAAGTGCGTTTTGCATAATGCCTGCATGGAATCTGAAAGCAAACACGAAGACCAATAAGTAAACAGGTAAACGATGGTTCGAAATGCGTCCTCCGTCCCCCTTTCAATTTGCAGCGCAAGCGGCTGTAGTAATTTCATGTAAATCATTTCCATCCCCCAAAAGACATCCCCCGCAGTTTCCCAACGCACGTCTTGCATCTGTATAATGCTTTATTTAATTCTCGAGGCTTTCAGAACGCTAATACAAACATCGAACCAGTTTCCCATCCTCTCTCTATATACGAAAGTTTCAGGCTGCCTTTGATTACATTTCCTACCGCAAAGGAAATAAGTGTTTTGCCCCCTTTGAACCCTCATTTAAATACTAAATCTCTAATATGTACAGTAAACAATCCTGCATGTGTACTACATAAATAGAAGTATTTCGAGATACATCCTATATATATATAATTAATGAAACTAATTACATTACAGAAATTTGATTCTTTTTGACAAAATTATTAGATAATAATAGAATTATTAGAAAAAGTTGATTACTCACATTTATATTTTGTTTTAAATTTATAACAGAAACATCAGTGAACAAAAATAAATAAAAAATCAAGACATAATAATACAATTAATCACTTAATAATTATTTGTATCTAAATTGTTAATTGTTGTAGAGAATTTCAATATTGTATTATAAAATTTGGTGATCCACACTATACGAATATGAAATTGAAATTGAAACATAACCTCAATTGTAAAAACATGTGAAAGAAATAAAATAGTAACGTTTCTTTTATGACATTTGATGTATGTCACATTAATATGTTTTCTTATAGACAAATAAAATATGTTGAATATACAAAAATTGGTAAAAACAGTAAATTTTCTCAAGAATTATTATTTATTACCAATTATGGTTACATCTTAAAAGGACTAATAAATCGACGATTGCCCAAACATAGTGGCCATGCATACAATTTTTTATTTAAGCATAGTTTACAGAATACAAATTTGGGCGGATATATCCGACACCCATCCTCAAACTTGTATTTCTTTAAATAATTTTAAAAAGTAAAATATATACAGCGAATTGAATTGTCCATGAATTACATGTTATAGAAATTTAATAAGAAAATGTTTGTTTTCTTGAAGAAATATATTTTTCTAATATATACAACTAAAACGAATCAGTAAGATAATGCACATGTAACGCATATATTTTCAACATCCTTCCAGCATATTTTTAATCAGGATGGCCGCATTTTTCTCTTTATTTTTCTTCATCTCGTCTTATGCATTGTGCGCTTTTCATTTTCACGTTTTCTTCTCTCTCCTAAACTTAGTTTTCCATACATTTTTGTTATCTTCTTTCTCTTGGTGTTTCCTTCGCTAATGAAGATATACTCTAGTGACTAGTCCATTTGAAAACCGCCGGAAAGCTTAATTACGGCGGCCGCAGTAATTTTGCGCCGTTGCGGCTCGTTCTAATTTACATTTTCAATTTTTGGAACGTTTCGTGCAAGACGTGAAAACCATGGCGCATTTAATGCGTTCGCACATGTTTGTTGTTCCTAAATTATCTGACATTATGCGAAGTGGTTACACAGAAAACACAATTAAATTTAATTACTTTTCTGTATAAGTACAAAAAGGATAAACTACATAGTTTAATCTTCATTTGTTCTTAAATCTCAGAAATGGTATTTTGTATATCTACTCATTAAATTAAGATTTTCTTTAAGTTGTTAAAATTATAATTATACTTTTTCAATGTGTACAAATTTTGATGGAAGTAACTTAAAATTGTATCAAAAAAATCGGAGATCAGTAATTTTATGGAACTTGAATTGGCATGACTTAATTAGCTATAAATACAGAAAAAAAGGTTACACAATTTGGTGTTTATATACGAATTAGTGGTAACCGATGACACGCAAAGCGCTGTTTGTAAAAATGCAAACGTGATTGCATGCAATTAATATTTTCCTCGTTGTTGGATGATGGTTCGTTGAGAGGACTCAATCAAAAACCGATTAACAAAAAATAAATCAGCGTAAAATGCGGTGACCTGACCTGAGAGCCCTGTGTCCGATCCGATCCGTTATACGCGCCGAACTAATTGCAAAAACATTGTGCAAATTGGGCTTTTCCGGTCTACATAGTAGCTAGCCCTCTGTTTGTAAGCAGGATCAAAAGCAACCCAATTTACTTTGTTCTCCTCAGCGGAAATCCTTATGAAAATAGAATTTCCTTTGTACTCTTTATGGAAGCTCGATGTTACTACTACTACTACTACCATCAGAGAAGAGGCATAAATGCAATATAAAAATCCTAGCCGAAGGATGAATCCCACAGTCTTTCCTTCTCTTTATGTCGATGTGTGTAAGAAGGCTCGGACAGATGGCCGCAGAGATCTCGGCAGGATTCCCCAAGGACGAGCCTTCTCATGATTTTCCTTCCATGATATGAGGTGAATTCTCGGATGCTGCGACTTCTATCTCTCTATATGTTGTCGGTTGTCTTTTTTTTAATAAGATCAAGACGAAATAGCAACGAACATTTCCAGTAGATAAACCGCGTTTTCTCTCTTCAAACATATAAATGTTTCATGCGTACAGATTTTTATTGCGACGTGCGCTCCGCTTTCCTCTCCTTTTTTTTATTATTATTATTTATTCCATCTCGTTGCTATCATCCTCCTTCTGTACACACATACATCGTATCCTCTTTTATTTTTCATTTTGTTTCGCTTTTTTTGTTTTTCTCTTCTCTCTTTTATTTTATTTTGTCGTATCGCATCGATAATATCCTGGGCATTCAATGCTAAAAGCGCGGTTTTCCGAAACGCCGGCGATTTTACATTTCGCAATATTTCGACGGCAATTTATCGCTTGCATAATTCCAGGATAAATTCCGTGCGTCGGCGACGTCCTCCTGCTGAAATTTACATTCACGTCAAATCTGGCACTTTTAAACGCCACTAAAAACTTTATTAAAAACCGTTTTGCATAATATTCGAGCCGCCGCGTTTGCATTTTAAAATGGTCCCCGTCCCCTGCGCGGTTGCCGCAGCCACTGCCGCCCCACATTTGCATATTAATAGTTCATCAGGTTGCCTATAAATCGTGGAGCGCCTGAAGACGGCCGTTAAATTGGTTGCCTGATCGCATCACAATCATCTCCGACGGCTAAATACTTGCGTTAACACGGCCATTACTGGCGGCTCCCATTGTTTAGCACCTTGTAAATATACGAGCGCGTTCATAACGAACTTCATTTTCCTTGCTAGTTTATAGCCGCTTACACTACTCGGTATATGCTTAACGGCATACAAAAGTTAAGCGATTATACTGCTCAGATTGGAGATTCATTGCATTAATACACAACAAACCAGTGTTTATCAAATATATAAAATTATACAAATAATCAGTTGTTAATTTACTTTAATACAAAAAAGTTTTCTTACAATGTTGTAGAGACTTTCAATATTGTATTATAAAATTAGTTTTAGTTTATTTTCACGATAGTATAAGAAATATAAAAATAAAGTAACATGAAACTATTTACGGTATTCAGGTTGTTTGGAAACAAATTTAGTTTTTCTGACATATGTTGTATTGTTTAACCAGCCAACTTTATTTATAAAATAAGAAAATCTGTGCAGTTGTTTTACTTTCTGGTGTGGAACCAAATATGGAAATTTCATATTTTGTTTTTTTTTATTACTAAAAATGTAAAAAAAATTGTGAAAACAAGATATATTGTATAAAGATGTACCGCATTCTAGAAGGTTTAAGCTGATGAAAACAAAATAATGGTATTGAAGCAAAATAACGAATAAAAACACGCAAAAATTCTCAAATTAGAACGTATTCACGAGAAATAAACAAATTTACTTTCTGAACAAACCAATAGTATAAGATTTCATTTTCACACAAATAAATACAGGTATCTTCCGACTTACGAACTAGTTCCATTCCAAAGGGTTGTTCGTAAGTCGAATTTGTTCGTAAGTCGGGAGAATTAAAAAAAAATTAAAATATTCTTATCTTATCACACTTTATCATGGTTTTTACTTTTATACATATTAAATTCCGTATTGCTGACTGCATAAATTTGAAAAAATTGTTTAAAATAAACAAAATACTTACTTACAAGTACTTTTCAATGCAGACATCACAATTACTTAATAAAAACGACAATAGAAACAAATGCAACGAAACAGATAGTACATCTTCCAAATATATAATATATTTTATTAAAGAAATTATATATTTTGTTTGGACAGTTAATTTTTTTATCACTATATATCTTCCTGTAAGAAATTACAGCTTTTTGAAATAAGTTCGTAAGTCCTAAGTCGGGGGATACCTGTATACTATTTTTAAAAAGTCGTTGTTTTTAACCTAACTAATATCAACTATTCTTTATATATTTTTTTTACAATTCTTGATTTATTTAAAGATATGAAGAAATAATAATTTAGAAACTTAAAAGTTTCTTTAATATAAATTAAAAAAAACAATTGCTGTATATTTTGCAACAATTTATAAATTTAAAGATAATACACATATTATTATATACATTTTAAGTACAGTGGTACCTTGAAATACGAGTATAATTCGTTCCGTAACCTTGCTCGTATCTCAAAGCAAAATATCGCTCGCTCGGCGGCTCGTATCTCAAAACACTCGTATATTAGGGCACTCGTATATAGAGGTACCACTGTATTATATAATAATTTAGAATATGTTGTTCAATGATTTGAAATTACAATAAAAGGACATTGTAACGTGGAAAAGTTGACAACACTGGAAAAAACGTTCTGCTGTGCAATGATGTTTCCAAAATTTCGCGGAGACCGGATCGAACCGTGAAGAGGTCTCCAGTAGAGGAGAAGATATATACGTATATTTGGTGCGGGTCCAGAACTGTGAAATCAAGACAGTTAAGGAGTCTGATAGAGAAGAAGTGTGCTGATCTGAAGAAGTTGGAGTTCTTCGTCTCCAGATAAGGAAGTGGCGCCCAGTCGGCTTGAATT